TTCTCTATGCCTTTATGCTAGTGGATCCGTATGCGTATACTGCAAGGATACTGTAGCTGGAATAAACATGACTATTCTATTCAATTAAAGAGTCCAGCTGCACACTAACACAAATGTATTTCTGTAACGTTTCGTCCGACCAGAGTCGGACTTCCTCAGACAAGCAGTTTACAACAATGGCAAGAAATAAATTTGGTAAATGAATTTGAAATATCAAATCAAGTATGACGTAACAATGCATAAACATTTCATTTGCATTTAGCCGTAGAAGTAAAGATGGGAAGATTAGAACCACAAATATCAGTGGAGCTCATTTCAGATGTTATTGAAAAAAAAAAAAGTTTTATTGTTGCATTTACGAAAATGATGGGTAACTAAATGTAATTGAAATTATGCGCACTTAAAGAACCACGAGGAAGTAAACCAACATTTAAACATAAATCAAGGCTTAGTCTGGTGAGGACCAATATCAAAATTAAAAAAGGTTAAAAGGTATTGCTGAATTTTGATCTTAAATAGCGTTAAAATATAATAATAATTCATAATATAAATGAATGAATTAACCATCTAGCATATTTCGAGTAGGACAAAAAAAAAATAATAAATTAAAAAACTATCGCAAGCACATAACTCCAAGGTTTTGAATTATAATTAAAATTAAACTTGGGACACTTGAAAATAATAGTAAAATAAAACGCCAATCAAAGGGCGAGTAATAATATAAACTTGAAAAAAAAAGTGAATGTTAAATTTAAATATTATATGACGTTGAAATGAAAATTATTATTAAATAATAATTCTTAGATGAGTCTACAGTCTATTTCTCCCGTGAATTGAGTCCTTGGGGTTCCAATGTTCCGAATTTGTTGATGTAGTATGCTTCTACTGTTTGGCGATAGCCCTGGTCTCTGAATAGTTTTTTTATTCCAGTTACTGAAAAGTCACTTATTGAATGTCCCAGTTTGTTGAAGTGTTCTCCAACTACTAAATCATATTTCCTTTTCGTAATACTTCTCAGATGTTCTGTTATACGATAGTTTAACGACCTTCCGGTCTCGCCGATATCCTGCATCCACATTTCTTACAGTTTACTAGATAAATAACATTTTTTGATTTACAACTTATTCTTTCGTTATGTTTATATGGACTCCCGTCACGTTCCCGATACTTATTTTTGTTTCTTCGGAATATTTACAAGTGGTGCATGCTTTTCTATTACATATCTATACAAATTGGCAACAAAGTAACTAAATTATGTCATAATATGAGGGAAGCCGACATTATTGATGACATACTATTCAAAGGGATAACTTCAAAAATACCTAAACCAGGTCGTTTACGTTTACAACCAAAAGTGCATGAGAAAAATCACCCCAGTCGGCCAATCATATCAACAAACGGAACTGCATTATCTCCAAATCAATGGGACAGCGATGGGAACTAAGATGGCTCCCAAATATATTTATGGCAGACTTAGAGTCTGAGATTCTAGAAACAGCCAAGATTAGGCCACAATACTACTATAGATACATCGATGACTGTTTTCTGATCTGGACACACGGCGAAACTGAGCTTATATCTTTTATAAACCATGCGAATTCAATACACCCTTCTATCAAGTTCACATTCGAATACTCAACGGAAAACATTACATTTTTAGACGTAAAAGTTCATATCATGGACAACAAATTGGAAACGGAAATTTACACTAAAGACACGGACTCTCACCAATATCTTTTACCCTCCTCATGCCGCCCCAAACATATTACTGCTAACATTCCAAAGGGACTCTTCATAAGAATAAGAAGATCGTGATCAAATGTCGAATTTTTTGACAAGCATGCAGGAATTATGAAACGCTATCTCATGCAACGAAATTACGAAGAGACTTCTATTGACAAAACAATAAAATTGGCAAAAGAAATGAACAGAGATTACCTTTTAACACCAAAAAGTACAAAACAAGGTCAGCAACTATTGCCATTTATTACCAACTACCACCCAAACCAACCGCACTTTAGGAAAATATTTTCGGACTACCAATATATTCTTGACAACAATGCACGACTAAAAGAGATTTTCCCTCAACCTCCGAAAATTGCATATAGAAAGTGCCCTACATTACGCGATAGACTGGTTAGAGCTGAACTACAACCAGTAATATCACAGAAAGTACAATCTGGTTTTTATAAATGTAATAGAAAAGCATGCACCACCTGTAAATATTCCGAAGAAACAAAAATAAGTATCGGGAACGTGACGGGAGTCCATATAAACATTAACGAAAGAATAAGTTGTAAATCAAAAAATGTTATTTATCTAATAAACTGTAAGAAATGTGGGATGCAGTATGTCGGCGAGACCGGAAGGTCGTTAAAATATCGTATAACAGAACATCTGAGAAGTATTACGAAAAGGAAATATGATTTAGTAGTGGGAGAACACTTCAACAAACTGGGACATTCAATAAGTGACTTTTCAGTAACTGGAATAAAAAACTATTCAGAGACCAGGGCTATCGTCAAACAGTAGAAGCATACTACATCAACAAATTCGGAACATTGGAACTCCAAGGACTCAATTAAAGGGAGAAATAGACTGTAGACTCATCTAAGAATTATTATTTAATAATAATTTTCATTTCAACGTCATATAATATTTGAATTTAACCATCACTCTTTTTCTTAAGTTTATATTATTACTCGCCCCTTGATTGGCGTTTTATTTTACTATTATTTTCAAGTGTCCCAAGTTTAATTTTAATTATAATTCAAAACCTTGGAGTTATGTGCTTGCGATAGTTTTTTAATTTTTTTTGTCCTAATGGTTAAATCATTCATTTATTATTATGAATTATTATTACATTTTAACGCTATTTAAGATCAAAATTCAGCAATAACTTTTAACCTTTTTTAATTTTGAATTTGGTCCTCACCAGAATAAGCCTTGATTTATGTTTAAATGTTGGTTTACCTCCTCGTGGTTCTCTAAGTGCCCATAATTTCAATTACATTTAGTAACCCATCATTTTCGTAAATGCAACAATAAAATTTTTTTTTTTTTTAATTACATCTGAAATGAGCTCCACTGATATTTGTGGTTCTAATCTTCCCATCATTACTTCTGACGGCTAAATGCAAATTAAATGTTTATGCATTGTTACGTCATACTTGATTTGATATTTCAAATTCATTTACCAAATTTATTTCTTGCCATTGTTGTAAACTGCTTGTCTGAGGAAGTCTGACTCTGGTCGGACGAAACGTTACAGAAATACATTTGTGTTAGTGTGCAGCTGGACTCTTTAATTGAATAGAATAATTCATGGTTGCCGTAGTATATTATTTAACTCAAAGACGAGCAACGATGAACACAATTGAATTGATATGACATTTTAAATTCTCGGGTCGGCCATGGATTGAGCGATGAGTGTTTCTCGGAAAATTTCTATTCTGAACCCCCTCCCTTTTAGAAAACCATGGCTGCTGCGCCCTTAGCTATAGATAATGTTATATTTGAATCACAACCACATTTCGACACCACCATCGTCAAATTTTATTAGTGATAGTGACGTTAATGCTCCTTCACAGATACAAAATTAACCAAGTCAGTTTTTTAAGTGAACGAATAGCTCTCGTAGCCCTTATAGCAGTGGGGATCAACGCCCGACAAAAGACTCCTCTACTCACCCTCATCGGATAGAAATACATCACTCAAACCACACATATAAGCGGAATACCAGCGAATAATGTATAAAGATTGGTTTCATGTGGATCTTACAGCAAAGCATACAAAAATCATTAAAAAATCAATACATTTTTCCCGCGTATCAGCGTTTACATACATAAAATACAATTACAGATCAAGGCTAGAGGTAGAAAAATATCTTCGAGTTGCCGTCTCCTAAATTAAAACGTGAATTGATATGTTGTGTATTTTACACAAAGCTTATAATTTGCATTAGTCATAATAAACGCTATTATTCACAATTTTATGTGATAAGTTAAAATCGATAACTGTAGACGCCAAATTTGGAGTGCCTTTAGCGCCCACACCAGGTGTATTTCTTAGATGGTCGATCTGTTTTAGTAAACTGATTTTATCACTCCAATGCAAAAAGACGCGTACAACAGTACAAGTTGATGTCGTTTATTGTCAGGAAAGTACAGGTGTATGAAGATACGTCGGTACGATGTTATAGGTATGATAATACAACAGTACGTGATTACGACAATACGTGGATACGAGAGTACGTCAGTACGAGAGTACATCAATACGTGTACGGGAAGTACGGCAGTACGGTTTTCTAAATAAAACAAACAATAATTACAACAAATAATGTGCCGGCAAGAAATAACTCGACAATTGAAATCATTAACTAAACAAAATTGTACACATTAGAACTGAACTTAACATACGCAGGTTTACGCCAGTATAATAACAGTTGCGGCTGATTACAAAAGTGGTCATTATAGAACACGGTACAACCGAAATATTCCTTAAATATAAAAACAATAAACTGAAATACGTACTTGACAGTGTAGCTTTCAGCTTACAAAACAATCGACAGTTGATTGGGACAGTTATTGAAATTAAGTTAATGTTATTAAATCTAAATATATGAAAATACAATTAAAACCTTGGAACTACAAATCTCCAGACAACGAAAACCTTGCACCACAAATCCCACAGTCCTGAGAAGGTCGAATCAAGGTACTGAAGCAGCGCGCGCAGCAAACGCGCACGGGGTATTATGATGTCACAATCACTAAAATCTGTGAACGTATGTACCACCAGCGCCTCCAGTGGTAAACAACAAAAAAAATATAATGAAGCGAAAGAGGCAGTTTCATCCCGGCCCCTTAGAAATTGAGAATTTGCCATCCACAAATTTGAAATTTCTACACACTCAAAAACAAAATCACAAAATTTAAAAACGAAATTGATCTCACATACACACAATTCAACTAGAGTCAAACGAAATGGGTTTTGCACACAACTCAATCAGAGTCACTTGCACACAGAAGAATTAATTTAGTAATGGGCCTATCTAAGATTGAATGGTTGGTTTGCACCGTAGCAGAACGTACACGGCCTTTGTTGTCGGGAAACGTTCCAATGATTCTACCCAACAGCCATGCATTTCTTGGCAAATTTTCATCCATCACAAGTACAACATCATTCTTAGCTAAATTCCTTTGAACTTTGTTCCATTTTTGTCTTGTTTGAAGCAGAGGAAGGTATTCTCGTCTCCATCTTTTCCAAAACACATCAGCTAAGTATTGTACTTGTTTCCATCTCTTACGAACATACAAGTCTTTAGCATCAAATACTCCTGGAGGAAGTATAGGTTCTTCTTTCAACAACAACAAATTGTTCGGGCTCAAAGGTGTCAAATCTTTTGGATCATTGGATACAGTTGTTATTGGCCTTCCATTCACTATGGATTCACATTCACACATAAGTGTAATTAAGCTTTCATCAGTTAATTTTTGTTCTCTGCAAATAGCGTTGAAAATTTTTCTAATTGTTCTGATTTGTCTCTCAAAAACTCCACCATGGTGAGAAGCCGCTGGAGTTTGAAACAGCCACTTGATGTTCTTTTGCAGCAAAAACCTATGTATTTGATTCTGATTCCAAGTCTTGATAGAATTTCTCAATTCTTGTTCTCCAGAGACAAAATTTGTTCCATTATCTGATCTTATTTCAACTACTTGTCCTCTTCTTGAAATGAATCTTCTAAGAGACATTATAAAGGCACTTGTATCTAGGCTATGTGCAATTTCAACATGCACTGCACGAGTCACTAGGCAAGTGAAAATAACACCATATCTTTTTACTTCGCTTCGTCCTTGACGAACAAGAAATGGACCGAAACAGTCAAGAGCGACAAAAGAGAAAGGTGGCTTGTCTGGTATTAATCGGTCTTCTGGGAGGTCGGCCATCAATTGAGATTCAGGTGCCCGCTGTCTCTTGCGACAAGATATACAGTTGTTGAGAATCTTTCGTGTCATTGCATTTGCTTTTATAATCCAGAACTTTTGATGTAATTCAGCAATTACATATTCTCTTCCACTATGGCATGTAACTTGATGAATATGTTCAATAATCAAATTAGCAATAGAACTCTTGTTTGGAATTATTATAGGATGTTTTGCGTCATATTGAAGACTCGATGCTCCAATTCTTCCACCAACACGGAGAAGACCTTCTTTCATAATAGGCTGTAATTTACACAATGGACTTGATTTAGGCAATTGTTCACCTTTGGCCAATACATTAATTTCCTTTGAATAATATTTGAATTGTTCATTTTTGATTATTTTGAATTCTGCCAAGTGCACCTCCTCAACAGATAAAAATGCTTTTTTAAATTCCAAATCTTTATTATCTATTGAATGCAGAAAATCTGGTTGTTTAGGCCATTCTTCCTGGTTCTTCCATAAAAAAATCTGGTCCAAATTTCCATTGTGGGTAGTTCAAAAATTCATCAGCAGACATGCCCCTAGAAGCAACATCTGCAGGGTTTAATTTGGAAGGCACATAGTACCATTGATTCACATCAGAAACTTCTTTGATAACATTCACCCTGTTTGCAACAAAAGTTTTTAGAACTTTATCAGTATTTGCCAAATATCGTAATACGGTGGTGCTATCCGTCCAAAATATAGATGCATCAATTGGGAGCTTGAGTTCTTTACGGAAGAATTTTTCATTTCGCGCAGATATTGTTGCTGCACATAACTCTAACCTGGGAATCGTTGAGCCTTTGAGAGGTACTAATCGACTTTTACCACACAGTATTGAGCAATGAATTTGTCCAGACGAATTTTTTAAACGTATATATGAAACAGCACCATAAGACTTTTCGGATGCATCAGAAAAGTGATGAATTTGTATTTCTGTGGTTTTTCCAAAATCAGGCGGTAAAAAACATCTTGGAATATTAAAATCTTCTAACTTGGATAATTCTGATATCCACTTTAGCCATTCCTGTTCACACTCTGGAGGAATTGAATCGTCCCATCCCAGCTTCTTCCTGCACAATCCTTGCATAAGGACCTTCATAGGTTGAATGACCGGCTGGCCAATGCCAAGAGGGTCAAATATTGAGTTCACAACACCCAGCATACCCCGTCTGGTAGCTGGTCGTTCAGTGTATTTAGTACTGAAACTTATTGTATCTTCATTTGCGTTCCATATCATGCCAAGAGCTCGCTCAACAGGCAATTCATCTATAGAGATATCCAAACGCTTTGCTTCCTTCGATCGGTGAGCTTCTGGAATTGAGGCCAATACTTCACGGTCATTGCTCACCCATTTCGTCACTTCAAAACCACCTTTAGCAGCAATTTCAGTAACACTCTTTATATGTTGGAGGGCACTAGCAGCATCCGGTTTAGAATCACAAAAATCATCAACATAAAATGAATCATTAATTGCATCAATCACACTTTGTTCAAAATCATTTTTGTTATCTATTGCAGTTTGTCTCAAAGCGAAGTTGCAACAACTTGGAGAGCACACAGTTCCAAAGAGAAAAACCGACATTCTATAAATTTTCATGGGTAAAGTGATGTCACCATTTTCCCACCAGAAGAAACGGAGGAAATTTCTATCACATTCTTTCACCTTTACCTGATGAAACATGGACCGTATATCCCCTTGAACAGCTACAATATTTTTGCGAAAGCGTGACAAGACTCCAACTAAATTATTTGTTAAATCCGGCCCCTGTAACAGGATGTCATTAAATGAAATTCCTTCTGATTTTGCTGAGCAATCAAATACAACCCTTAACGTTTTCTTCTCTGGATGACGAACTCCATGATGGCTGAGGTACCAAGTCCTTCCTTCTTCTTCATTGGCATCCAGAACTTCTTCAGCATAACCCATTGTGATCATATTTGCAACAAAATCCTTGTATTCTGCATAAAATTCCGGTTCCTTGTGAAGACGACGCTTTAATGATTCTGCTCGCTGCAAAACTTGATATTTATTTGAGTGCAACTTAACATCAGGATTCTTCAATGGTAAACCTATTTCGTAATGTCCATCAGTTCTGAGCTTAATTGACTTACTAACTTTGTCAAGAAAAACTTGTTGAATTGGTGAAACTTCATCTTTTTCATTAATTGCAGAATCAACAACATCTGCACACATTTGGCACAAAGGATTTAGTTGAGATTTGGTGAAATATGTAGAATTTTTGGTATTTCCATTTTTCGCAGGACAGTTAACCATCCATCCAGCAATTGTCTTCGATGCAAAATAATTGTTTGGGCCATAAATCACTTCCAATGGTTTATGCAAACCAAGATTATCTTTGCCAATCAAGAGCTCCACATCACATTCTACTTTGGGTATCACAATACCATTAAATTCTTTAAATTGATCAAGATCACTTTGTGTAGGGATATCTGTTTGATCAACACCAATTTGATCGTTTGAAAACAAGGGATTTAACCTTACATATGTTGACTCCTCGAAATCTGCTAATTCGAGGTTCTTTATAACAGTGCATTGCTTGTGTTCCACAGTATTATTTATCGTACGAATGTTCAGATTTGTAACTGGTCCATTGACGTTTAATTTATTCATCAGCGAATTGCTTATAAAAGAGCAAGTCGATCCATTGTCAAAGAATGCATTGGTTATAACAGCATTTCTTCTACCAGCTATGCGTACCTTAACAGGTACAACATTGAGCAAAACCTTTTGTTCGTCAGAGGCATTTAGGAATGCATTAAATTTGGTTTCAGACATCTGTGTCCTATAATCATTATGTGTTTGTGTAGTACTTTCATGACTACTTGATGTAGGGACTTTTATTGGTTCCTTATCCGGAGGATGAAGAAGTGTTGTGTGTTTTCTTCTGCAGTTTGCATTTTTGCAAGGGTTGTTTCGTTTACATTCCCTGACCCAATGCCCAGATAATAAACATGAAAAACACAACTTTTGCTTTTTTACAAACTCCAATCTCTTATCATACGTCATGCCTCGAAATTCATCGCATTGATTTAAGTAATGATCTCCATCACATTTTACACATCTGCGTACAGGTCTATTATTATGAACTGTAGTTGCAAATGAGGATTTGTATGGCCTCGAGCCTCTTGTGGAATAATTTGTTTTGAAGTATTAAATTCGATAGAGGGAACATTGCATACTTCTCTAGTTTTCTTACGGACGTAATCAGCAAGATCCTCTATTGTTAGGTCTTTTTTCTTTATTTGTAGTACATTGTCCATCTTTGATAACCACCCAGATCTCCATTCAGGCGGCATTCTTAAAGCTATTTTTTCTATGGTCATAAGGGCAACATTTTTGTATTCAACCCCTATCAACGTATTTTTGCATGACATGATTTCTGCTGAATACACAGTTAATGATTCTTTGTTACTCAAATTCAGTCGAGGACCATTTGCTATGGAATTAATGCAGGATTCGCCAATTTGAAATTTCTGACCATAAGTTTCTTCAAGTAATCGGATAGCTTCATCATAGCTATCTGTTCTGTGCTGGCATCCCTTAACCAAAGCACGAGCAGGGCCTTTTGTATATTGAAGAAGATAAACTAGTTTGTGCTTTGGATTTTGTAATCTGCTACCAATTACGGTTTCAAAAATATCAATGAAATCCTATATTCACCTGCATTACCACAAAATACAGGGGGTTCAGATGGTGGCAAACCTAAAGTTTGAGGCACATATATAACTTGAGGGTTGCTGCTTGTTGAGAAATATTGTCATTCTGTGCATTTGCATTACTTGGTTGACTGCCCACAATAGGCTTTTGAATTGAGCCAATATTTACTGAGTGCAGTACCTCTGCATTTTCAATTCTGCCAGGATTATCTATTAGTGTTGGTAATGTAGGGTTCATATTAACAGCCGAACTAGTCGTATGCAATGGAATAGTATTGAATGAAGTTGGAAATTTCGTTAATATTTCACTGTGGTTCGTTCCAGCCCCAGTGTAAATTGCATTGCTCTGCAATTGTCTGTTATCACCCACACATGACATTGGAATTTCACAACACCTTAAACTTGGCTTAGATACACATGATGCAGGTACACAGGAAGTCAAACCAGAATTCACCACACTACAAGAGCTCACAAACAAATTTTCAGATGTTAACGGTATTTGGGCCATGTCACACACAGATTCAACAACAGTCACACATGCACTCGGGACCATTTGTGGACGGCAAACCCCAAAATCAGAGGAGGAATAAGAAACTGACTCACCATGCTCTGCGGTGTTCACACGTTCACTTGGTCGACCCTCACAATGCACATCACAACTTCTAGAGACAGGTAATTGATTAGGTGTTGAAAATGGTGTACTTAAAGCTGGTATTATTGGACTGGTCACATTTAATATTTTTGTTTGTTTCATAGAGGAATTTGATGGCTGCTGACTGATTTCGACACTAGCAGCAACAGGGGGCGTATTTATAAGAACGCCTCTTTCTGCTAAAGTTTCATTTAAATTAGTGTCCAGTTCCAATTGTTCACGTTGATTTTTGTCTTCAATTTCTTGTAGGTTCATCTGCTTCCTCTTGTTGAACTGCTCCATCTCGATGTTTCTTCGTTGTAGCATTTGTTGGCGACGATGTTGAAAAGCTTCCAGTTCGGCCTTTCTCTTACGCTCTTCAGCTTGCTGTTTTTGTAGAATCTGTTGCCACTCATTGTCTAAATTTAAGTTTTCAACTTGATTGTTATTTTCCCAAATTTGTTTCTCACTTTCTAGGCGATTTTGCAATTGTTGTTTCTCCAATTCTGTGCGCCTTTGTTGATTCAGCTTTCTTGTTTCGAATATATTCTCAATTTGTGAATCACTCAAATTGGACATTCTTGTTGAGCATGAAGATCGCGACCGAATTGTACCACTGCGTGATGTTATCAAACTTCGCATTACTGATCTATGTTGCTGACTATTTATTTTTGAAGCCTTGCTTTTATTTGTCTTTATCTTCGACCTTGTTGTCATAGCATGCGCATTTGTTGATCCTTCTTCAGCAAGGCCAGATGCTACAGATGCTCCTTGGTTGTTCTTTTCTGAACTTGGTTGGAAATCTGACTCTACATCAGGACCTCTTAGGAACAGATCTTTGATTGACGCACTATGACAATCTTTAGAAGTTGATTGACTTTCATTAGGCAAAACAGGAATTATACCTTGTGTTGGAATAGTCAGCAAAGCAATTACATTATTTTCAGTTGCTTCAGAAAATCCAGTAACCGACATATTTTCTAACATATCATTGTCTCTGTTCACTAGTTCATCAGCGGCAGCTGGTTCATTGATGTTGTCATTTGATTCGGCCATATTTTCAAAAACTTTGTTGCAGTATTGCAAATGTCAAAAAACTAATGTAGACGCCAAATTTGGAGTGCCTTTAGCGCCCACACCAGGTGTATTTCTTAGATGGTCGATCTGTTTTAGTAAACTGATTTTGTCACTCCAATGCAAAAAGACGCGTACAACAGTACAAGTTGATGTCGTTTATTGTCAGGAAAGTACAGGTGTATGAAGATACGTCGGTACGATGTTATAGGTATGATAATACAACAGTACGTGATTACGACAATACGTGGATACGAGAGTACGTCAGTACGAGAGTACATCAATACGTGTACGGGAAGTACGGCAGTACGGTTTTCTAAATAAAACAAACAATAATTACAACAAATAATGTGCCGGCAAGAAATAACTCGACAATTGAAATCATTAACTAAACAAAATTGTACACATTAGAACTGAACTTAACATACGCAGGTTTACGCCAGTATAATAACAGTTGCGGCTGATTACAAAAGTGGTCATTATAGAACACGGTACAACCGAAATATTCCTTAAATATAAAAACAATAAACTGAAATACGTACTTGACAGTGTAGCTTTCAGCTTACAAAACAATCGACAGTTGATTGGGACAGTTATTGAAATTAAGTTAATGTTATTAAATCTAAATATATGAAAATACAATTAAAACCTTGGAACTACAAATCTCCAGACAACGAAAACCTTGCACCACAAATCCCACAGTCCTGAGAAGGTCGAATCAAGGTACTGAAGCAGCGCGCGCAGCAAACGCGCACGGGGTATTATGATGTCACAATCACTAAAATCTGTGAACGTATGTACCACCAGCGCCTCCAGTGGTAAACAACAAAAAAAATTTAATGAAGCGAAAGAGGCAGTTTCAATAACTAATTACATGTTTACCAAATGCTTGGGTCGCGAAAAGTTAGAAAATTTTAGTTTGGGTCGCGAAGCCCTCCGCTCTGGGTCGAAAACAATTTAAATTTTTCATAAATATGAGCATCGCGTCTGTGCAGCGTATTTATGTATAACAATTGTATAAATCTCTGATTATAATTATGAATGTTTCCCCGAATATACACTTCCTTATTTACTGCCGTAATATTGCCCAATCAGCATAAGTGCAAAATTGAAGTTACAATAAACGTTTCAGAAGCGCTCAGATACTTTTGCCATTCAGACAGTCTTTCGTGGTTGTGATATTACCTTGTTTTGTCGGTTTTCGCGTGTTATTTGTTAGAATTTATTTATAATTTCTGTTTTGGTAAATGTAAGTCCTAAACTCGCAAAACCATTCTTGAAATAAGTACCAATAATTTTGCAATGGTAGAGTGTAAAGAGGAAGAATTCAAGAGATCCAAAGTCGGGGAAACATTTGTTACTTAGTTGTTGACATTGTTATATACTATTACGTAGACTTTGGGTTCTCAAATTGCTCCGTACGTAGCCTCAGGACTCCGTTGAAGACACTTAAAACTGTCCTCGACCCGCTGCCCTATCTTCATCTCCTTACCTTTACTAGACCCACTGCCCGATCTCCCTCAACTTTCCTATCCTCGACCCACTACGCGATCTCCCTATCCTCCCAACTTTCGCATCCTTGAACCACCGCTTTATCTCCCTCAACCTCTCTCTTCTCGACCTACTGCCCTATCTCCCCCCTTTTCCTTGCACGGAAATACAGGTGACATTGAATGAGTTTTGAAAACGCTATTATTCACAATTTTATGTGATAAGTTTCATAAAATTTTGTGCAAGAAAAATGCTAGTGTCGACAATAGTCTTAAAATCGATAACTAATTATATGTTTAAAATTTTTTTTTGGGTCGCGCTCAAAAGTAGTTGCGGACCCCTGGTGTAAAGTAACCGAAACATATGGGTAGGGGGTATATTCTCTTGGCTAACCCAGATAGTTCACGAACTCGTAATAGAACTAAAATCGGAACAAAATCATGACCTGACCCTAACCTGGTACACACACTAGGGATTACCAAAGTTCTAACTATGAAAATTGATATATTTAAAGCTTGAACAACACAATTCATTCATATCTGAGATAACGATCAATTGCGGATAGAAGGTAACTAATATATTATCTAATATGGATCAATTTTAAGGTAACTCGTAGCAAGCTACAAGCATATTATAACAAAGATGGAGAACCATTGACCCATTATACATTTGTATACTTTTTGTACCATAATTTTATTTCAACGGAAGGAACTGAAATGCAGTAAAATGTCCAACAACCGGAACGCCGTTTCGGTGCGTTCCGGCTACAGTTCACCACTGACCGATATAACGCTACTTGCAGCCACGCTGTCACAATGTTCATGACCTAACAGTAAAGTTCATCTCCTCATTTCTTACAACTTGTTCAAAAACATTTTTTATTAGAAAGTACATGAACCAAAGAAAGCAGCAGAATAGTAACGGGGACACATGAAAAGTAAATGCTACTTCGCGGTTCACTCACTTTCCGCACACATTGCATTTAGAAAAATAAATATAGAAGAAAAGGATGGAGAAGCATTGCCTGGTAACTCTAATGCGGTTGAGCGGAATTTCCTTCTGAACCATCATGATCTGACATTATATAACGTTTTTTGGTAATTCATAAGCATGCGAATCCGTGTTTTTGTAAATGAATTTCATACCGTCAAGTAGGCTTAAGCATGTGTAAAACTTGAAAACTACACAGTACTAACCAACATTTCTTGTAGAAGAACGTGACAGAAAGTCTATTATAAAAAAAAAAAATGTTAAACATGGAGTTGACCTATGGATCGTTTTCCTAATATGTTGTTGATCATTACCGAAATTTGGCAACTCCATGGCAGGCCCAGATATTATAACAAGCAAGACACCTGGGGCTCCATTCGTCAAACTTTTTTATCGTTTAGCGTGTTAGTGAAGCACCAGGCACCTACTTTCTCGTAAAAGGCAAAAATGGTATTCTCGAAGTATCGTTAATATTCGAAAGAATTTTTTGCGGTCTCGTAAAGTGCCTTCTTCTCGCATTTTAAATGAGAGAAGTCGAAAAGTTTGCTCGTTAACAGTAGTTCGGCCTGTTCTTAGCATGAATTCGAGTTAAAATGTATGTGTGTTTATTTGTAACAGTATTAACATAATAATTAAATGATATAACTAAGACGGGATACTAGTTCAATACCTTACCGGCCTAAGACAAGTATGTGCGACATGCACCCCAACAAATGCTGTGGTGCTTGCATACTTCGTGAAAAATTAGTATCAAAAATCCCTAAATTGGGTGAGAGTGACTGTAGTCTAGTAGCTGTGAACCCATCTATATATGCCGACTAACACCGTACTAACATCCAATATGGGATTACATATTCATCTATTTTATTGTCTATTGCAGAAGTAGTTTAACAATATGTATCCCAGAATTTATTTCATTCATCCATAGATTACTGCTATATTCTCCCAACATTAAATCACAGGCTGCAAAAAGTAAAACAGAGATCATTGCAAAATAGGCTTATCCGCGCCGGGCGGCTAGCGGCAGTGAGTGATACGGTTGAGTGATCACACAGTAATTTTTGTTCAACGACGACCGTGCGTTGGATTTCGAGAGAACTTGCGTGACCGTGCGTAAAGTTTTTACGAGATCTTTCATAGATCGCACTTAACGAGATTTCGTAACTGCGTTCTTGAGAGACAAGGTTACGTGTTTGTAAACGCGGTGTTAGATCTCCAGCGCCATTAGTGTTTATTTCTTTATTGCTGACACGTATTGCACCTTTTCCTTTGTCAACGTCACAAAGTCTCATTTTATTACTCGCATTTGATGTGATTCTTTATTATCTGTAGACCGAGCCGAGAAGGTTTCTGTCTAGTGCAGTGGTTCTCAACCGCCGGTCCGTGGACCGTTGCCGGTCCGCGGCAATTTTGCTGCCTATATTTCCAATATTAATTTATTATAAGCAAATTGCAAAATATAATGTATTGACGTCATGTCCGTTAGTTTTATGATTATTTTTATTTAACACCTATTGATTCGTAGACCGGTATTCGTCTAACAACCAAACTTGGTGAGAGGTCCTCTGCCCATTTCAAACCCTAAACGGTTGGATGTTTGTTAAGTCTATGGCCTCATAACGGCGGCTAACGTCCTAATAGGGGAGTTTGATAGCACACAGCTAGGGTTTTGTTTTTTAGCAATTCTAAAAAAACACTCTGTTTTAAAACAAGGGCTTGTTTTTAATAAAATACCCCTTGCATCGCCGTGAAACTACGCCAGAACGTTGCGTTCTTGCAGCCGCATGAGCTGCCGGAATTATATTTTCAAAAATGTAAGTAAAAATTATTGCTTTGACTTTCATTTCGATTGCGTACACCTACCGCCAAGTTTGTATCTATACCAAAGCCATACGATTTTAACAGGAATATTTATCCGAGATACCAGAGAGACGTTTTGAGTAAGAACAATCATCAAACTTATTTAATTAATGGCAGCCTTTGGCAAAACAAGTGCGGTACGATAAGGAAGAATATACTTCAGCGGCGCCAGAGTGATTTAAACGACGAGTCAGGCTCTGCTTATTGTAAGACACGTCTGGTGCAATGATGTCAAAACTAATCTATTATGACCCCATAATAAGGATTTTGAGTTTCTGTATTGACATTTTTCTCATAAAATAAAGGCAATATTACGGTTAAAACTGTTCGGTTGATTCATGCCTAGCATACCTTGTTCTTAAGGTTGAAGTGATAGAGTTTTTAAAAGTTATACAAACTCATTTATTCGGTCGTATTTCACTTTTTGCAAGGTCGTTCTCGTCGCAGGGTCGTTCACGTATCGGTATCACGTAATATCGTCTTATAGCTTGCATCTTCCTGCGCCAACCACGTTTGCGGACGCATTGAACTAAAGCTTAAGAAGGCTTGTATGGGCCTTCGTCGATATTTGTGGCGTTTCGAAGGATTTATTGCAAATAAGAAACGCTTGGCATGTTTTTACATTCATTTGTCTTTAACACATTTAATACAAAAAAAATCGGAACTCCCGGAGTATGGGAACCAAGATAGCGGACACCAGAACGTAGTATGTGTACCAGGTTGGGGTTAGGCCATAATTTTAGGTACAAATACTACGGAAGTCACTAGGCTAGAAAAAAATGGAATAAAATTATTTTCAAACCCTAATCTGGTACACATACTACGTTCCGGTGTCTGCCATCTTGGTCCACATACTACGAGAGCGCCTGCAAATAGTAAAGCCATTTCAAACAAAACAGGCAAAAAATGAATTTAAAACAATTGTTTGAAAAAAAATTCTTTTTGAACAAAACCATACACACAATACGTTACCTGATTGAGAACTTCGCAGTTTGCACGTTCCGTAATTAAATAGCAGGCATATATTTAGCGAGGTTTATAGTAAAATGGAGACAAATAAACAACAAAGTATTATCCAGTTCTTCCAAAAGAAACGCAGCGGTGAAAACCAAGTTAGTGGTGTTGACAGGACAGATGAAGAGACTGCTACATCAACTTTACAACATGCCCCCGAAACGACCATTCAGGAAAGTTGATATGGATCTGGTATGATAAGAAGTATTTGGAGCTAGGTTTTACTATTGCTCCCAGCAGCAAAAAAGTACCGCTTCCCATGTGCAAAGTCTGCGCCAAAAATCTTTCAAACTATCCAATAAACCTCTACCCGAGGTTTCCATCCTTGCTGAGCTCACCTTAGGACACCTGCGTTAGACCTTGACAGATGTACCGCCCCAGTCAAACTCAATGCATCTATCGCTCCACTTAGCGGCGACAACTGCGCTCGGCCCCCTCAGGCAGTGTGGCGCTTCTCTTTGCTCTACTCG